GGGTACTGTCTTATGTTTTAAAATCACAAAGGGAGTTTGGTGCCATCAGGCTAACGTGACAGTCACGACTCATGCAGCTGTAAGGTTTTCTTTTTCTTTTGTTTTTACTCGCGATCTTTACAACACGCATTACATTACGTATTTCATGGCACACTCGTTTTATGCGTATTTGGCGCCACCTATTGTTGTGGGTGTATTATTGACATGTCAAAGTCTAGACCCTGAATAAGACGACCGTGTTTTTTCAGATGTATTTCCAAGAAAAAAACATCGTCTTATATTCGGGTCAATACGGTATGTCCATGATTATTTTTGGTGTTCACATAGCAAGTGTCCTAACATTGACAAAGTTTCATACCATTCTGATGAAGTAAAAAAAAAAACCCCCAAAAAATAAACAAAATTTTTTTTTGTCAAAAATGACAAAGGGCACCAGAGGGTTAAAGGTGTTTTATTGTTGATGTTCAGAAAACACTTATTCATGCCTTATTCTCAGGTCACTGATTGAGCTAATATATAGTTTATTATTCTCTTTGGTGTCGCTTGTGGCTTAGAAATGACACACTGCAGCTTTAAGTTAAAGGTGACTGCATTAATGTTCCGGCACATGATATTCCTGTGCTCTGTTTCCATATAGCAGCTCCCCTGACAACAGAATCAGCTTCAAGAAGTGGGGATCAATTTAATGTGTTTAGATATTAACAGCGATATTTGACTCTGCTGATTTCAGTGAAGTGGTGTTAAGAAACTCTTCATCAAATAGCCATCAGCAAAGCCAGATGTCTCCTCTGAGTTCACTGTGACCTTTTCATAACACCGCGCTCTCTTACCTCACACCTCACTGCATATACAGCACAAGTGCAACGTCTCATGGGAGCAGAGAAAGCTCTTCTGACCTTGTTATCATTTGTTCCTCACATGCTTTCTCGCTCACTCTCCTTCTCTCACCTTTTCTCACTTTTCCACAGTCATCTCAACCTCATCTTGACAGTATTTTACACTATTAATCTGCTTTAAGAGATGTTTCTCCCAAAAATGAATATTCTGTCATTTACTCGCCCTCGTGAGACTTTATTTCTTCTCTTTATTTCTTCTTGTGTTCCTCAACAATCTGAGGTTAACAGCAGAGCTAAGATTCAAGCTGTTCTAATGCTCTGAAAATGTTTAATTACGTTAAAAATTATTATATCAAAGGGATAATTGACCCAAAAATAAAAGACTCCATAATTTACTAATATATGCACAGTATATGAAGATCAGAACAACACTGAAAAAATGGTAACCTGAAAATGGTAACATCAGTCAAGCTTTATTCAAGCCAAAAATATTATTTAATACCACTGAATCAACCTAAGTAGATGTATTGTATGGGTAAATTGTATGGGTTACATCAAGCAGAAAAAGCTCTTTAAGGGAACAATAGCAGGTTGCCACTTTCTACAGTGAACACTGGACCCCATTGCCCATTGACTATTTTCAGTTTTTTAAATTTATTTTTAGTATAAGTTTCAGAATTGTTGTTATTTTCTTTTGTCATTTTAATTTTTAAAAAAAAAATTTTTGTGGGGGGTACCTCAACTTATAAAGCAACATTTCAATTTTTTTAAGTTTCAAATTTCAAAGTTTTTAAAGTTTTTTTCTCTAACATTTATATTTTATTTTATTAAGTTTTACATTTCAAAGTTTTTTTAAGTTTAAGTTTTTTATCTAACAATTATATTTTATTTAACATTTTTTTTAAATCATTTTAATCATACATTTAGATAACAATAACAATACTGATACTGAAAAGTATTGATTAAAAATAGTTCCATCTAATTACTTTTACCAAAAGTTGATATGCTGCATATTTTTATGCTTGTTTTTGTGTCATTAACTCAGCAACATTTTACCGTACAAAAATGGACCGTTTTCACGGTCTTTGATGACACATTTCGATGGTCATAATCATTATAAATCCTGCAAACAACAATATACTTTGTATTATATTACCTTTGCATCAAATTACAAAAAAATTAGTTAGCGCTGCTGTGAGAGTGTTTCTAACACAGTGGCAATGAGAGTGATGATAAATTTGACATTGTTCTATCTTCTGACTGCCATTATCAATCTCTCTATTTTTTCTTTCGCTATTTTGAGTTTTTCTTTTGCTATTTCAGCAAATGGTTTATCCAAAAGTTTACCCAACTATGACGAATTCCACTTGAGAAACCTGTAAATGTTAAAAGGGTATCAGTTGTGAACTAAGTCTCATGTTTTTGTGTGGCACACCTGCTGTGAAGAACGTTCTAAATCTGTCACTTATGAGGTTCCATGTCAGATAGATGCCATCAGCTGTCTACAGTACATAGGCTGTAGACAGCAAGACAGCTTAGTAGTTGTTGGAACAGAGCTCCAGATTAAATGGTTCCTGTTGATGTTTTCACTATTAGTCTATATGCTTAAAGCATTAGCAAAAAATGTTTCACTGATCTTTTGCTCTTTCTTTGTGCATTCATACAATGATTAGTCAATAATACATTCATTAATTCGCTTCCTCTTGCTGTGTAAGCATCTGCTATATGTCTGAGTTGGTGCCTATATACTGACACACACCCTGCAACCGCAGAAATTAACTGTATTTTTTCTACAAAAAGGACTGCGGTGACTCACTAACTAATGAACTGTTCAAATGAATGAACTAGCTGAAATAACTGATTCACTGATTCAAATGAACTGATTCACTTATGAAGTATACTTCCCAACACTAGCAAAGATGCATTGATTATTGCTTCAGATTACCTTTTAAACTGCCTATCTGGAGAGTATTTGCACTATTATGTTGCTTTAAAAGGATAATTCAATTGAAATAAAAAAAATGAAAAGTCTGTCATCATTCTGTGCTCATTTGTTGTTGTTTTTTAAATTTCTAAATCCATTGTTATTTTTGGTTTTCTTTTGCGTTCAGAAAGAAATTCATACAGGTGTTGAACGATATGAGGGTGACTAAATGATGACAATTTTTGTTTTTGGGTGAACTATTCCTTTCAAATACTCTTTGGAGCATTTCATGTGTCCTCCATGGATAAGGCAATCCCAGAATGCACTGTAATGTGAAAAAATCTGATTAATAATATATATACTTCATTAAATACTGAAAAGTATTGATTAAAAACATCAAATTACCAAATATGTGTGTTGTATATTTTTGTAGTTATTTTTTACGACATTAGCTTAACTACATGCTAACGTCCAACAATGGGAATCAATTGTGAACCAAGTCTCCTGTGTGTACATGTAATATACAATATGATATTCAGAGCAAGGTAGGTGACTTCGTTCAAAATTTTTTTTTGTTTTGCTGGTTGAAATTCTCTTCACATCCGATAGCAATCACAAAAAGCAAAAACATGCTGAAAATTCCATTCAAAAATTCTGTTTAGAGGTGTCCTGTGTGTTATCATATTTACGATCTCTCATTGCTCACTGTGACAGGCAGCACAGATCTGAGGAACACATTGAGATCAACAAAACGAGTCAATGCCGGACGGTTTACTTGCCGCATGTTTCAGGTTGACCTGTTCAAACATTTGTTTTTGTTCCACAGCAGTCAAACAGACGTGTCATTTCTCACCAGAGAAATTTGACTGCGGAGGGAAGATCGGCTGAATGGATTCGAAAACGGTAAAACTCAACTGTTTAACTCTAGGGGAGTTGGAAAATGAGCCTATTTTCAAAAATAGTGGCGTGTTCCTTTAAACACTGCATTACTGCAATGCAGATCCCAAAAAAAAGCATGGAGTGGCATGAAGTGTTATTAAGTGACACTGTTGGTTCTCATTATTTCATAGCCAGGCTGGCTTGAATTCAGTAAAATATTAAAGTCAGGAAAAATAAATGACAGCTGTTCTGCTTGATGAATGATACTGAAGGTTCGACAAGTGCTGCATTAATGTAGAAATCACATCTCCTTTGATATGTATCACTCATTTAAATGATGAAACAGATCCAGTGATGAATAATAAATTCACTCAGAGCACATTGAGAAAACTGACAGCCTAAACGGAGCTGCCCTTTCTTCCCGTTTCTAGAAAGTTTATACAACATGTCCTTGGCCAGGCTAATTGGTATAACTTGTTGGGCCGTTTTGAATTCTTTCATGATATAAGGCCAGTCGAATGGCCCCAGCAGACTCATTGACTGTGGCGGCTCTCCAGGCCTCTGCAGCCAGAGATGATTTATTTATGCCTGCATTTCTGATACCTCTCAAACTGTGATCTAATATCAACAGACAGCCTGCCAAATTGAGCAGATTGGCTGTGACTGTGGAGGAGAGAGGGGGACAGATCTGCTAAAATAGGGGCCACAGGCCCTCTGATCTACCACCGGACCCCGATTACTCTCACTTAAAGAGAGTTCACGCAAACATAACAATACTGTCATCATTTACTCACCTTCTGTTATTGTGCCACACAGGTTTGGACAAAATTATTTTTTGGGTACAGTATCCCATTAAATGTTTTTTTGTAGCTATCATTTAACAGTTTTTTTGTGATCAGATCCCAAGTTTTATATATATAGTTATCATATTTACGATCTCTCATTGCTCACTGTGACAGGCAGCACAGATCTGAGGAACACATTGAGATCAACAAAACGAGTCAATGCCGGACGGTTTACTTGCCGCATGTTTCAGGTTGACCTGTTCAAACATTTGTTTTTGTTCCACAGCAGTCAAACAGACGTGTCCACCAGAGAAATTTGACTGCGGAGGGAAGTGTGTGTCACTGTCCTGGCGGTGTGACGGAGAAAGAGACTGTGAAAACGGTGAAGATGAAGCGGACTGTGCAGCAGGTAAGTCTGCTCTCTTTCCCTCAGACTGTGTGTTTGATTCTCCGCAGGGAGTTTATTCAAGGCTAGTTTGAACTGACTTTCACCCTGATGCTGTGGACCTGCTTCAGTCGTGACTCTAAAAGGCACAAAGTGGAAAGAGAGACCTAGTCAACGGTTTATTTCCTAAGCACACTCTTGTCTTGTTATGTGTGTATTCTGTCTTTTATTGAAACTCTCTAGTACTGGCCAATTATGTTGATTGGACAATTTTAGTACTAAATAATTACAATTAAGTGTTGATTAGAGCATTTGTTTTAGGTCTGCTCCGGTGTGTAATTATTCAATTTACAATGAGTTTTGCAGAGTTTGAGCATTGTAACCAGTCACAAACATGTCTGTTGTGCGGTGTATTCGTCTGAAAGAAGAAAGTCATATACACATAGGATGGCTTGAGGATGAGTAAATCATGGGTAATTTTCATTTTTGGGTGAACTATCCCTTTAGTGAGTTTTAAGCAATCTGATCCACAAATGTGTGCTGTTTATTTATTTGGATCCCCGGGGTCCGACAAGTAAAACAAAAAAAAACTACATGAATCCACAACAATATAAGTCAAGTCAATAAAACATACAAAACCTAAAATTCATTCAAAACATCAAAATCAACAATTTACTGTATATTGTGCCATTAAATATTCCTTTAAAGATTTTTTTAAACCTCTTTTTGCTTATTAAAAAATATGTAATATCTGATGACATATCATTCCTTATTTTCATTCCTCTATACATTACAGTCCGTTGCTTTGCATTAGTTTTTGAAGCAGGAAGCAAAAAACATCATTTTGATGCATGCCTGGTGTTAAAATTATGACTAGCACTACTATACAAAAGTTGACAATGCAGGACATTAGGAAGTCTAGACACTGAAATATTTCTTATTAAACAAAGCAGAGAAATAATTGTCCTATCCTTCACTAGTGGCCAACCTAAAGTTTTATGCATTCTTATAATATTAACCCTTCTATTACAGTTTAGAGTGAGTCTGTTACGGGTATTGGTGTTGTAAGGAACACAAGACGACGGAGAATACCAAATAACAGTCCTTTAATAAATCCACAGAAGAAGCACTGGAGAAACTTGGGGAAAATGCAGCACAACCAACATCTAACATTAAACAATAACCGGCAAAGGACTGAACAGAACAGGGAGAACTTATACAGAATCTAAATGAGGGAACTAATGAGATGATTAATGAACACAGGTGAACAGAATAAACTAATCAGGGGTGCGTTTCCCGTACAATGACGTAACTCGCTGATTAACCACCATAGTATGATGCATTGTTGTTGAAACGAACTAGGTAGTTACGACTGTTTCCCGAACACGGTCGCATCTCCGTCGTTTGAACCACATTAGTTCAACAACATAGGGCCATTGTTAATGACGTCACACGCATGTGGTGGAGGAATAACTTGTGCTATTTATTAGACATCTCTAAGATGCTGCTGTATTGAACATGGCACCTGATGACTAATTTACTATTTTTTGTTCCCTGTCATTTTGCTGTATTTGATGTTTGATTCATTGCGGGTTCCCTCTTACGTCATACTCCGGGGTTTCCTTAGGTATTTGTGCACATGCGCACTCTTCAAAAACGGCGCTTTTAGAGGATGGGCTAACATACATAGATTAAAATGTATTTATATTTAGATTAGCCCTACTGTGTTGTAACATGGTGTGGTATATGGGCAACTCTGGTAATGCTGCCTGCTAACCGCTATGTTATACTCGCGGAATATATAGATTGCACTGCATGTTAGCTTGCTTATTGTGCCCAATAGCATATTTATTTAAGCCCATATCCCTTGCTAACAAGAAACTATGCTTCTAACCACAGGTCGAGAGCTGTTTGCGAATGTTCGTTTGAACTATGGTTTCGGGAAACACCGAAACTTTGAACTATGTTGGTAACGACGGAACTTGCGACCATAGTTGGCTAACGATGCTTTTGGGAAATGCACCCCAGGGCAACTAAGGAGAACTAGGTCAATGAAAAACGAAGACAGGTGAACAGGAACACAAACAAAAGTCCATAACCGTGACAGAGTCGTGCAGCTCTATTTTGGACTAACTGTAATTTTTTACAAATCTTTACTTGATGCACTCGACCACACCGCTGGACAGTAGTCTAAATCAGTGTTTCCCAACCGGGGTGCCGTCTGTCGAGAGCAGGGGTGCCGTCCGAATATCTATACTTTTCAAATTATCATATCGAAGTTAGAAATTCAAATATTGTGACAAAATTAATTTTGTAGGGTGCCACAAGTTTGTTAAAATTTCCAAAGGGTGCCGCGACTAAAAAAAGTTTGGGAAACATTGGTCTAAATAAGTAAGAACCATTGTTTGCGCAATTTGAGAAATGCAATATTGGGTAACACTTTAGTATAGGGAACACTTCTCACTATTAACTAGTTGCTTATTAGAATGCCTGTTATTAACATGTTGGCTGTTTATTAGTACTTATAAAGCGCATATTCTGCATGACCATATTCTACATCCCTAATCCTGCCCAATACCTAAACTTAACAACTACCTTACTAACTATTAATAAGCAGCAATTAGGAGTTTATTGAGGCAAAAGTTGTAGTTAATAGCTAGTTAATAGTGAGAATTGGACCTTAAAATAAAGTGTGACCCAATATTGTGGTAAAAATTTTGCACATCTCTTAATAACTGATAGACCTCTTCCCACAACTGTTACCATATTTTCTATCTGTTTTGACCTCTTCAACCTGCTATCTAGTAGAACTCCAAAAAGTCTGGTTTCCTCTACCTGTTCAATAGGCACACGCTTTACAGACAGATTTCAATTTAAATTTGATCCAAACACAATGCTTTTGGTTTTTGTTATATTTAGAGCCAACTTATTTTACGTACCCACTTTACAACTAATTGCAATTCCTCATCCAAATCAGTAGACAATTGTTCAATTGATGTTGCTGGTAAACACAATGTTGTATCATCTGTGTACATAACTGTCATTTGCACACTTTAAAACAAGAGGAAGTTCATTGGTAAAAATAGAAAATAACAATGGTCCTAAACAGCTTCCTTGAGGCACGCCACATTGCAACTCTTTCACTTCTGAATAACTTCCATTATAGAATACACATGGTCTCATATTAGTCAGATAACTTTTAAACCAATGAACAGTATGAGAAGTAAATTGATAACATTTCAGTTTTTCCAGCAATAATTTATAATTGAATACATCAAAAGCTGAGCTAAAATCTAACAATACTGCTCCTACTAAGTTATTGTTATCAATCTGTGCTAAGCAATCATCTGTCATTTGTGTTAATGCAGTTCCTGTTGAATGTCCTTCCCGATATGCATGCTGAAAATCAGAGAATAAATTATTCTCCAGAAGGATTGAATTTGCACACAGACTATAATTTCAAATACTTTACTAAGAACTGGTAGCAAACTTATTGGTCGACTTAAACTGAATGCTAAGTTGCTAAATGCTATTATTCTTAAGGAGTAGCAGAGCATGTCCTTAACATCCTCTGCTAAGGTTTCCTTGATAAATTGTCTAGACTCTTGGCTATTGATGTTAGTGGCAGGGCTCATGCTCATGTGTCATTATCATTGAATGTTTCAACACTTCTGGTGGGAGGTGCTTGAGCTCTGCTTATTAAACACGGTTGTTTTACCTCGGCCAATCAGACATCCTCACAGATCCCCGCTGTGAATCCCCCTGCCCTACTTTTAAGACGCTGTGAAAATTGACACTTTCTCTAGCTTCCCTTTCCCTTCTCTTTGAAATATTATCTCTTCACTGTCTGCCTTCACTGGCATCTCACTCTCCCTCAATTTGCCCAATCTCTCTATCTTTCAATGTTAAAATAAAGAATATTTTTGCATGTCCTAAAATATGATCATTCTGAGCTACTCGCACATAATAATAATAATAATAATAATAATAATACAATTAAAAATACTAAATAAAATATAATGTATATACTGTTCAAAATGTGTGTGAATATATATATATATATATATATCTATATCTATATCTATCTATCTATCTCATTATGATCTGGTCTTCTTAAAGGACAAAGATTTCCTTATTGCTAGTCTGCATTTGTTAATTGTAATTAACCTGCAGGTCACTTCTGCTGACACACTCTGAGGATTTAAGGCAAATTAGCTGAAAACGCATTAATGTGTCCTTTACAGAAAGGCAATTTAAATAAAGGTTTGCTTTTATAATTAACTTGAAAAGGTGCCACGGATTTTATTTAATATATATTTGTTTAATAACTAATTAAAACCCAAACTAATGTTCCAGATAATTTCTGTTGTATTGCCAGCCCATCTGAAACATTAAAATCTCATGCAATCTCACAAGATATAAATCACAATGTTAATTGCCCTATTAAAAGCAAATGAAATGCCCCCCAAAGCATTTTTCACTCTGGGCGGATGATAATTCATGCCTGTTAAAAGGCTTGGCGAAACACAAAGCCTAATTAATCATGATGCATCTTCTACAAGCAGTTATTTTGGACGGTTTGTATGGTTGTATGTTTTCCAAATGATTTTTATCAGTCAGCATTTTATTCAGCCATCCTCATCGACAGCACAAGTCTTGGCAGCACTGAGCCATTCTTTCCTTCTATAGAGGTAATCATGATACTATTTTCATCAAGCTATAAACCGAGAGTCCAGGCAATCTCTTACCGCTCAGACTCTTGATCAGTACATCTGTGCCAATGTCACAGTATCGAGCCAGGACAACCGGAGCCCTGCCTTGAAATGATATTTCACCTGGGCCCTGATGATAATTGATTTCCTGCCTTGCTCTGCCAGGTCTGTGCAGTGTAATACACCTCTAATTATCCACCGCTGAAGGCCTCATAACTTGAATTCACTGCAATGATGCTCAGACAGGATATGTCTCAGCTCAGTGAACGCGTATGTTACTCAATACTGCATTTGTTTAATTTCTTGTTGTTT